GAGGAGAAATATACAACACCCCGAGCAAAGACGACATCTAATTGGTCAAAACACCATTTGGGAGGTGTCCAAAAGCCCAGTTTAAATACTCAGGACACCATCAAAAACTGCTTTTTAGTCATCGCCTTTTAGCTCTTTAGCTTTTTGGTCATGGCTTTTAGCCACTGCTTTTTAGCTTTTAAGCTTTTTGCCATTACTTTTTGCGTTCTTTGAGCACCATTCCAGCGTGCTTCGGCCTGCATGCCCGCTGCTACTTTGCCACGATGAGAAAAAAAACATCTAGTCTCGTTACTTCTATTCCTTTACTTTAGTTTCTTTTCTTTCCGTTGAGAGTTTCGTGTTCTGAGTTAAGTTTTGCCAAACGCAGTGTCTCCGAGTCCAACCACTGGCTTCCCAAGACGTCACTACAAACGACCACTGAACTTCCAGCCAATCAGCAACCTCGGGAAACCCCATTTTCTGCAAGGAAGACAACAAAGGGAACCCCCGTACACAGGCAACGCAAGTACCTCCAGATTCTAGCTGAACTGGTGCATTTAATATAAATTTTAACCTCATTGAGAAACTCAAGGCGAGGGTTAATTAAGTGATTGATGGTTGTTCAGGTCTATGCAATTGCACATATTATAAACTTGAGATTTCACATTTTCATTTCCTTAAACTCATTCTTTCCTTACTTTCACGCTTTCTGCAACTTGTGTGAATGCATGTGTTTATGTGTTAGATTAGTTTATATGTCTAAGATTTATCCAATAAAGCCTTATTTATATTGAAAAGATAAGTATCTTGTGTTTTGTGCTTACAAGTTAATGTCTTAAACTGACGATCTTGTTACTGTGCTAATTAATAGATGATTCCCTTTGAGCTAAATTGACCTGTTTCTCTTACAAAAGACTGCTCTCTATGTGGTTGACTGAAGGCTGAGATTGGGTAGCACTATAAGTTACTATTTCGCTGAGATTTGGGCCAGTTATGGCTCATGTGTGGCTCATGCCTGTAGTCCAGATCTGGGTCAAACAAGGGCCGTAATTCTTTGCTGCATGTAGGCTGAGCGTTACTGGTTGTTTGGCCCAGAGCTGGGCCAGACGACAATTGCTATGTGGGTTACGGCTTCAGATGCAGTTGTTCTAAAGATGAAAAAGCACAAATTAGCTGGTCAAAAACTTAATTTGAGCTTGATTTTGGTAAAAAAAATATCATGTGGCCTCATAAGATTGTAGTTCTTACCTACATTACACAGTCTTGTACCTTTTGTCTTTCTGTCTGGTTTTCAAAACATGTTTGCTTCAATTTAAAGTTTATAGTGTTGCGATTCACCTCGTAGCTGGTTGGCTTGGTTCATAACTTACAACGTTTTGACAAAGATGGATCACCTAACACCCCAAATCGTATTTAGTGATCTCATTCGGCAGTTTTTCTCCCCACCAATCCTGTCTTGAGCCAGTGATGCATAATTAGACTTTAAAGAAGATGCCGAACAAACCAAACACTTTCATACTTTGATGCTACTGAAATGAGACATTTTATTTGTTTATCTTTATTATTTTTCGATTATTTATCACACAATCATTTAACTCATTGTTAACCACATATTACTAGTACCACATATAGATAAACCAATATATGAATATAAACATCATCAATCAAGACAACTTTATTCGTTTTCTTGCTTGATATTGATTTTCACAGATTTGTCCACAATATCTTGACACTTTTCAATTATGGAATGTTTCACAATTAAACAGCAGTATGACATGCACCAGATCTCCAAATAAAATAACATTCCCACAATCCCATTTGCCAGTTTTAAAAAGCTGAATATAGTAAGGTTAGCCTCTTGACTGGGTCCAGACACAGACCTGTATGTGACTATATAAGTAACAAAAAAAGAAGAAGTAAAATTCAAATCTTACTGGTGTTTTTATAACTCGGCAGTCTTCATTTTCATCTCTCAGTCATGATTAAAAACTGAAGTTAAGAACTTCCAATTTCCACGGTCTCCAGGTTTCAGTTTCATAGACAGTGTCTGTGTATTTGTTGTCGAATACGTCTAATATGTCGATGAATTTTCCGCTATGCACGGATAATCTCCTTTTGCGATCTCTTCCTGAAGAAGAATTTCTTTTTTAATCCTCTCGAGTTCAACAATGCGGTCTTCAAATCCAGGACGTTTCTCCGCCTTCTCCGTTTTGATCAAGATTTCAAGGTATTCTACAGTGGAGAGAGAGCTGGCCTTCAGTGCAATTTTATTCAGTTGTCTCAAGCAATCAGAGGACATTTTGATTAGCTTCCTCAGTTCGGCCTTAAATGAAGTTAATTTCTTTTCAAGGTCATCAAGCATATCCTGCGTGTTCAACATTCTTCCGTGTGCCTTCATTAAGTTATCTTTCAGCTCGGTAATGTTTTTTCTCTCAATTTTTTTAACATATGTCCACTTTGCCTTTTCCTTTAAATGGAAAGTGTGAGAGCATAATTGAGGGCACATAACACAGCGCCCAGATTCATCCATCACAGCGCAAGTCTCCACAGAATCTTCTGCAGGGAGGAAGCAGGTGGAGTGGCATGTGTATAAGCATAAGTTGCAATTCAGGGCAAAACTGTCTATGGGGTTTCTTCTTGGTATCAACACCTCAATGTCTTGCTCAAAATTCTCACTTTGTTTTACGCTATCTCTCTCATTTTTCAAACGTTCCTTAATTGTGTTAATTTCTCTCAGTTCAGTGAGGCCAGCAGTGATTTGAGGGGTCAGATCTGCCATGGCTTTTTCGAGGCGCTCTCGTTCTTCCAGGACTTTTTTGGTCAGTGTCAGATCTTTATTTTCAGATTTGCCCAGTGCCTTGAAAAAGGCCTTCATCTGTTTGAAAGTTGATGTCCAGACAATGTTGTACAGTTTATTACCATTGTCTTCACCATCTTCATCTGAATCACTGTCAGAGGCTGTAGGCTCTTTTACGTTCTTGTCTGCATACACAGCTGTGTTGTTGAACTTGAAATGGATGGGCTCTCCCTTTGTATTTTTTTGACAGGGCAGATCTGCTGCTTTGATGGCTTCCAGGACTGGGATTTCTTCACCATCTGCGAACGTCACCATAAGCATGATGTTCTCTCCGATGTCTTTGCCAAAAATGGACAGAATTGAGTCAAAGATGTACCTCTGATTGGCACCCAGGCGAGCCAGAGAGGCCTGGACGACGAAGCAGACGGCATCAATGTGATCGATTCCCAAAGGGCTACAAAGAAAGCTTTTCAGCTGCTTTGTAATCCGTTTATCATGTTCGATTCCTCTCGTATCACCAAAGCCGGGTGTATCTATGATTGTGAGCGAGTAGGGAATTCTAAAGCCAGGCTGACTGTAGAGCTCATAAGATGAGACGATAGATGTCTGACTCTCGGCCTGCGTGCGATGAGTCTCTTCGTGGATCAGTTTGAAGCGATACGCTTCCTCCCACTTTACGCCCAGTATGTAGTTAGCCATCACATTGATGAGCATGGTTTTTCCTGCACCTGTCGCTCCTACAAGAAGAATGACTTTGTTTTTCACATCCTCCACCTGTTTTCCAAAGACATACTGATCAAACGCTTCATTCTCTTTCATTTTTTTGTGTAGTGCCAGTTTATAAATCGAAGGATTCCCCTTATGTATGCTTGAAGATTGATCCAGGAACAATCCACTTCCAGCCTCGTCTGACGGTTTGCTCTTTGGACATGCAGAAAACCCAGTTTCAGGGCTGGGGAGACTCGCTCCATCACTTCCACAGTTTGCAAAAACTCTGACTGTGTAGTCTGTGTTTGCTTTCAGTCCCTGAAAAGTGTAAACCCTGCCTGCAGATTTCACAGATTCCCATGGCTTTTCGGTTTCCTGATCCTTTGGCCGTTCTCTGAATTCCAACACGTATCCAGTGACCATAATATCTCCGCCCACAGATTTAGGGACATCCCAAGTTAATGTCGCAGACTCAGATTCTACTCTTTTGACTGTGGGCGCTCCTGGAGGAGCACAAGGAAGGGTCCTGAAGAATTGTGTTTTGTCACTTGCCAGACTCACACCTGGACGACACACTGCCTTACAGGTAAAACAGTATTCTTTATGCGGCTGTAGCTGCTTGACAGTGACCTGATCAGAAATCCCATCAGTGTACACCCCTGTCCATTCAGAGCTCTCTGCAGACTTGTATGAAATACAGTACAAGGTCACACAACTAACGCCGTGGTCAGGAGGCGTGATCTGCAGATGTATGCAGTCATGCTCGGCACTCAAGAAATTGGGCATTGGAGGTTTTGAGGGAAGCTCGTACTCTGAGCTGATGAGTTTTGCTCGTTCATAAACACGAATTGAAGAGGCAGTGCCGAGTTCATCTGGGATCGATACAATGCAGAATTCAATGTTCTTTCTTCCTTTATTGGCTTCTTTGAAATCTACGAAGGCCTGTATGTTTTCCCTGTTCTGTGCCATTACATCTTCCAAAGAAAACCATTGTTTTGCCCTTTCTGTCGAGCTTTGGTCATAGCTTGGCTGTTCCCCTTTGTCACTTGATTGTTGTTTAAGGTAATTCTTCAAGTCTGGACGGTAGTGTTCCTTTTCATTTAAGGAGGAGAGTGCAAAGGCTACCACATAGTCATTGGATGCTTTCAAGACAATCTTGTCCTGGGCATTGCTGGTTGAGAGAACAGGGATATCTTTCATGACGTCGAGGTAAGATCCAACCACAGTGATCTCCCGCTCTCGCTCATTTAGGTACTTGTTTATCAGAACACCCTGAAATGGGGACATTTCTTTTCTGTTCAGAAAATCTGACAGCTCCTGTTCTTCTTTTCCTCCACCCCTTATAGATGGTAGAAGCCTGCAGAGATGTTTCTGAAAAATGACTTTGTACTCTGAGCAGAGGTCCTTAAAGTTTCTGAGCTTGGCTTTGATTTCAGGGAACTGGATGGCGACATTGTCCCTCATCAGATCTTGACACTGAATGTCACAATCATCCAGTCCATCCATGATCCGTTGGGCTCGTCGTACCAGGCTAACGCTGATCTCCCTGACTATCTGAGCAGCTGCTGAATCAAGTTTTTTCAGAGGATAAAGCCACACGGTCATGGGCACAGCATTCTCTCCTTTTTCCCCCAACAGTTCCGGCAGCTCTGAGTACACCTTGATGGCGTCTTCGTAAGTAACTGGATTATTTTTCAGAGCAAAATCTCCATGGAAAGTGCAACTGAACTTGTTTATTTTGTCTTTGTCCAGGTCTTTCATGGTCAAAGATGCCTGACCCTCAATTGATATTGTAGGAATCTTTTTGATTGTTGCGTGGAGTTCGCCATGTATGTCTTGATGGCTTTCACTGGATGAAACCTCACGATCAAAAATAAAGAATGCATTAGCTCCATACAGAAGAGCTGTAACAACATGTGTGGCCGAAGCCTCTTTAAATACATCGCTGTGCTTTACGTTGCCTTTTCCAAGATGCTCCATAGTTAACTGCTCGTAACGTGTGGTTGTCCGATACCGTAACGTGACTCGAGACTGATTTTTGGACTTCTTCTTGTCATGTAAATAGTCAGCTGAGCCTTTCACACTGACTAATCCACTTAAAAAGCTGGCTTCAAGAGATGCAGAGACATTCAAAGCTTCTGCTTTGTCTTCACTCAAATCTGAAGCGATGATTTTGAAGTCCGTGTTTGGCTGTGTATGTACATTAATATTCTTCTGCAGCATCTCAGAGTCCCAGAGAGTTATTCCTTAAAAGAAAGTATGGATTGCCTGTTATATTAAGCCAAGAACTATGGAAACATGCTATGAACATGTACTGTAAATGCTATTTCATTTCACTTTTAGTGCATTTTTGGCTTATATTTCCGTAATAGCTTCAAGAGTATTCATCCATTCTCTGTTTTAGGTCTATTTGGATAGTTTTATTCCATATCTATATTAGCATATTGTGATTGCAATACCTGGAATGAGAGAATCCTTTCTGCAATCATACAGCATTCCCAACTGAAACGGTTGGCCAAGACAAGCCAGTTCAATGGTCTCAGAGTCAGACATGTTTCTGATGAAGCTGATTGTGGCCTCTGTTCTGAAATATGGCTTCCCTTTCTAGAACATAAATTATATGCGTGTAAATATGAATTTGTTTAATGAGTAACACTTTTACAATTGAACTCATTTAAAATGATACCAAAATAGAAATGGACAACAACAAATAAAAGCCTACCTGCCCACATTATCAAAATAAGAATAAGCAATTTCTAAAAGAAAGCACACTTGGGTTTCAGAAGATTTTTTTTTATTAGTGGGTCAATTGCCATACAAATTAATATTTGTTGTTGTTTTTATAGCAGTGCAACGAGGAAAAAGCACAGGGATGCTCTTATCTGACAGCAATACAGCTTAACACATCATAAAAGTAAATACAATGCTTTAAATGAAATGCAGATCATCCAGACGACCGCTAAAGATCTGAAGGATGAATCATTTGAATTTGTTACTAGGAGTTACAGAAGCATACAGAAGATAAGAATACACAATCTGTCATCCTTCTGGAACAAGAAAATCTAAATAAGAATGCTGCATAATGCAGTCCAGCAAATTACTGCATTCGCCACTAGTAATACCGTGTGATGATTAAACATATTGCATTAAAATATCTTGCATTAATAACAGTTTTAATGCTCCTTATGTACTGTTATATTAGGTCGTTGCACATTAGGTGTTGGTTTGTGACGTCATTTTTTATTTGCTTGAATTCTTTTCTTTTCTTCTTGTTCTATAGCTCTGTTGTTCTCATCTATTTTTCTTTTTTCTTCTGCTTTCATTTGAAAGTCTTCCAGTTCTCTCATTTTCTTCTCATTTTCTTTTCTCTCTTCTTCTTCTTTTTTTTTAATTCGATCCAGTTCTTCCTGGATTCTTTTTTTCTCCTCTTCGGATTGTTGATATTGTGTCCAATATGAACCCATTTTCAGAGTCTCTCTTTGATGGAAATAGATATTTCGAGTTTTCAGATATGTGATGTCAGAAGAGAGCGAAAGAGAAAGAGAATACTGTTAAATTATTTTTAAAAAGTTCACAAAGTGATTTTTTTTTTTTCCCAACAAAGAATCAGTTTGTGATTTTGTTAAAGGTGCACTCGGTAATTTTAACAACTAGCAGTGTAAATGCAGCATTACACAAGATTTTATTTACCACTACTTTTGCAAAAATGCAGTTTTATTTGTCAAGGTAAAGCAACCTTGTGTAACCCATATTAATCTCAACACGGATTCCAAACTCTTTAGGTTGTATAACCTTTGCCAACCAGATGAGCAGAGGTCCTCAGAAATGTCTTTTGTCTGTGCCATGATACACTACCACAAACATGTGTTGTGAAGATCAGACTTTGATAGATCCCTGTTGTTTAAATAAAACAGGGCACACAGCGACACCAGATGATCATCCCATTAGCCAAGTTTACATGAACACTTTTTGCTTCAGTCGGAATGAATTTATTCTGACTGATGAATCCGAAAGGAGAGTTCACATGAATGCTATTTAATACGCTGATCGGGTTTATGTGTGCCTTTGTCACAAGCTTCTAATCGGATTTAGTCTTGACGCGTGTACACTGCACAAACATACAGTGTTTCCCGCTGTTGTCGCATAATAACCATCCTCACTTTCTTTCGTTTTAAAACAGCAGGTTTATTATTCATTTTGCAGGGCTCGACATTAATGCTTGTCCCTTCAAAAAGTCAGGACAAGTGGTCAAGTAAAATCGATTTTTACTTTCCTGACCGGACAACTAGCATTATTAAAACTTTCCTCGTGGAGGAGGACTTTTTGGAGGACTTACCTTTCGAAAGTAAAAGAAATATGCTGAGGGAATAATTCAGAATGTTTTTATTTATAACATATGATATAGATAAGCAACATAACACGACCAAGGGAGCTGTTTTATCTAATATTATCACAACTGCAACGGTTTTATAGTCTATTAAACAAGTAGTTCATATTAAATCACTTATATTTTAGACTCGCTTTTGACTGTTTTTCTTGTATTTCACCAGTTCCAAACAAAGATCACAGAAGAACGGTTACAGAACGATTCAGCTTTTTGAACAAATTGGTTGAATGAACGGCTCAGTGGCTTAAATGACTGTCACCTACAGTACTGGCGGTCAAGTTTCATGTTTAAAAATATCATTGCTTTTATTCGTACATTTAAAAAAAAGTATTTAAAACATTAATCACATAACATTTTTTTGCAGTGTAAATTATTTAATTTGATTAGTAACAGCCCTGAAGTGTCATGTTGTAATTAAAACATTTTATTGCATCTTTTTAATCAACATTTTTAACAATTTACAACCTAAATTAAAAACAAATAACAAAGCCCAGCCATTACAATAAAAAAAGAAAAAGGGACATACAAAAGCATTATACTATACCATACCTCAAAATATTACTTAAAGAGTCATCAATACAATCTAGTTATGGAGTCCAGACTTGATGGAAATCTTCAGTTGATGAATGAATAACATGTTAAGAATTCTAAAGGAATCATTTCGCTGACAATCTTGTGTCATCCCTTCAAGGAAGGGGGTTTATCACTGATCCAGGATACATTCTTCCTAGCAGAAAAAGCTAGCATATCAAATAACCGTTTAGCGAATTTATTTGACAGATATCTAATTGGGAGACCTAAAATTAAAGACAGGGGGTCCAGCTGTAGCCTTAATCCAAATATTCGACTCGTATATCGAACAACTTTTGAGCAGTAAGCTCTAATAACTGAACATTCCTAGAAGCAATGGGTGTAATCTCACACTTCCACCTTACATTTAAGACATAATGGAGAATTACTTGGGTTAAACTTATGAACTTCTCAGGAGTGGTGTGACGTGCAATCTATGCACAATCCTGAGCTGAATAGCTCTGGCCCCGTTACAAACGGAGATCTTACTCGCCTGACTCCATACCTGATCCCAATCCTCCTCTGTTTTGATCAATTGTAACTCCCCCTCCCACAGTCTTCTAAGGTCCCGTGTGTTTGCCACATCATAACAGCAAAGGGCATTATACAAGCATGAGATCTGCTTACTCAACGGTGGATTTAAAAGGAGTTTCTCAATGGATGACATGGATGGGTTGGTGACAAGAGTAGTACTTCTAAAAATATAATCCTTGATTTGGAGAAATCTGAACAAATTTGATCTTGGTAACTTGTATTTTGTAACCAAGTCTTCAAAAGATAATAGAGCCATCATTGAACAGATCACCAAGTCTACATTTTCCGTAAGCATACCAAATTTTAAAACCAGAATCTGAAATGCTAGGGATAAACTCGGGGTTATTGTGAATGGGGGTCAGCAGGGAAGACAAACCAGCCCTGCCCTCAATCCTACGTCTAACAGACCAGGCCTTCCACGTGTCAAACACGATTGAGTTCTCACATAATGCTTTGACTACCTTAGAACTTCTGACAAATAACAGATTTTGTAAAGGACATAACTGTGAAGCCTCTAAATCAAGCCAAGTAGATTTAGGATCCTCTCTGAACCATTCCAAAATAAATTTAAGCTGACAGGCTAATTGGTATTTTCTAATGTTTGGCAGACCCAAGCCACCCCTGGAACTAGAAAGCTGTAACTTTGGAAATTTTAGTCTTGGTTTCCTCTTGTTCCATATAAATGAACTAAGCCATCCAGTTAATTCCTTTACCCTTTTAATCGGCAATAATTGTAAAGGACATGATAACTGTGAAGCCACTAAATCAAGCCAAATAGATTTAGGATCCTCTCTGAACCATTACAAAATCAATTTAAGCTGACAGGCTAATTGGTATTTTCTGATGTTTGGCAGACCCAAGCCACCCCTAGAACTAGAAAGCTGTAACTTTGGAAATTGAAGCCATCCAGTTAATTCCTTTACCCATTACAGATGATACCAATTTTATTGCCGAATAAAAGGGTAAAGAAGCCTGGGCATTATATTCATTTTGACTACAGCCATTCTTCCGAGCCAGGAAAGGGGGACATCTGACCATCTAATTAAGTCGTTGCGGATTTTATCAAGCAAAGGGGAAAAAAATTACTTTAGCTAATTGGGAAATTGTGGGGGTAATATTAATTCCTAAATATGTAAAACCAGAGTCCGACACTTTGAATGGAAGGAAAGTCTTATTAATTATACTAGAACTTTGTTGTCTTAGGTGCAGAGCAACAGATTTGGAAAAATGTATTTTATTCCCTGAAAACTTCCCAAATGAATTAACAATATCTACTAGAGCAGGCACCGACGATTCAAGGTCCGACAGAAAAAGCAGGATATCATCCGCATATGGGGATATCCTATGCTGTTTAAGACCAACCGAAACACCAGACACGGCCGCCCCCCCTCCCTAATCGCCTGAGCCAGTGGTTCTATCGCTATCGCAAAAAGCAACGGTGAGAGGGGACAGCCCTGCCTAGTGCCGCGGGACAGAGGAAAACAGTGACAACAGCTGCGAGTGGAGCAGAATACAGTAAGCGCACCCATCGGATAAAATTATCACCAAGGCCGAAACTTTCTAAACTATAAAATAAATATGGTTTTGTAATTATGAAAATAAATATGGCCAGTCCACTCGATCGAAGGCCTTCTCCACATCTAATGATAAAATGAGGGTGTCAATGTCACATTTATGAGAGAGCTCAATAATATTTAGAAGCCTTCTAATATTGTTACTCGAACTTCTACCCTTAATGAAACCCGTTTGGTCTTCATTAATGATAGAAGGAAGTATTTTCTCCAACCGCAGTGCAAGGATCTTTGAAAGCAATTTAAAATCTACATTCAACAGAGATATCGGCTTATAGGACTCACAATGTTCCGGATCTTTTCCTTTCTTTAAAGGGGTCATATGATGCGATTTCAATTGTTCCTTTCTCTTTGGAGTGTTACAAGCTCTTGGCGCATAAAGAAGATCTGTAAAGTTGTAAAGACTAAAGTCTCAAATCCAAAGAGATATTCTTTATGAAAGTTAAGAGTCAGCCACACCCTCCTAAAACGGCTCGTTCTAACCATAGACT